AAACGTCTGCTTTCTTACAAAATACATGAAACGGAATTGCAGAATAGCATGAAATGACACCCTAAAATTCCCTGAGTCACTTTAAATCACAGAATGCAACATGTGGGATCTTGAAGGCACCGCACAGGCAGCTGAAGTCTACAGTGTTAATGATTTTTAGATTAAAAGAACATTCTAAGCAGCTAATCTGTCTTGCAGTAGTTTCATGCCACTGAGTTTCACGAGGCACCTGTTAAAACACCTTGACTTTCTTGCTAAGTGGGAATCTACCAAGTGGGAAGAGGGGACCAATGACCCATTGTACCACTTCTGCTAATTCCACTCCTCAATTAGAGCCCCTTTTGGCACACACACAAGGCACACTTTCCTTTGCATCCCTGCACCTGCATGCTCTGGTTTCTTCACTGAATACCTGTCTTTCCAGTGTCATGCAATTTCAGCTTGAGTTTGACAAGCTTTAATAAATTCGTCACAGATCATCTTAAAATGTACAATAATTGATCTTCAAGCTTCATAAATATTCACTAGGATCCAGAGATGAAATGTAGAAAGCTGTTACATAATTCCTGTGAAGATATCTGAAAGAGGACAATACCAGAATGCCACCTGTATAATTGAGATTAACTAAGGCACAGAGCCTTTACTTAGGAAGAAGTTATTTAAAAGGACCACACAGCACTGGGGAGTATTTTATGAGTAAGATAAGCTTTTGTCTCCCTTCATGAGAAAAGAAGTAGTAATGAAATGTCTTTCTAATGAACAAAATATTTCCAGGACTTGTATTTTGCAAAGTGCTTCTGTCAAAAATTCTGGAATTTTACATGTTTCTTTCAGTTACAAAGTAAAAGACAACAAATATAACCAGTCGTAGCCCACAACTTGTGGTTACGTTATTATCTGATAAGAGCATGGTTTTTAAAGGACAGGATTAACAGTACATTTAATCAATCTTGGTAACACAGACAGTAGACAGCAAAATTGATTATTGTTCAGATAATAAAATGATCCATTTTTAAAGTATTGGTATTGTCATTACAGTCACAAGTATTTTCACCCTCCCTTCTCATTCTGCTGTAATTCTACGAAAATGTGCTGGCTCTGCAGAAACACAAGGGTCCATGTCAGGAAAGCCTTTTACAAGGCTAAGAACCAACTCACTACTTTTTTTTCTCTCAATCACTGGGTTGAAAAATTTCAGGTTTATCTGCCAAGAGTGACTATTTTAATATCTGCAGAATTAGACAGCCAGTGTCTAAGAATTCTTACAGAACGAGATGACAAGCTCTTGGAAGACTGATGCTGGTTTTCAGTAAATGCTGAGGCTAAAGAAGGCTGCAAAGAAAATAAAGCATTAACATAATTTAAAACAAAAAAAACCCAGGGTGACACCGATAGGTTAGTTTGATATCAGTCTTGCACAAAATCATGGTATATAATCAACAGAAAAATAAAGGATGGTGGTAAAAAGCAATGCTAAACATAGGCTTACAGAAAATAGGTCTCGCTAAATAAATTTGGTATGGCTTTCTGACAAGAATATAGGTTGGACTGGATAAAAATACCTTGTAGTTTCTGACCTACTATACTTAGATCTCTGTAAGATTTAAGGCCACACAACAGTCTGATTTAGAAGTTATTCAACATGAAGAAAACCTGGAATCTAAAACCACCTCATAAATTATTAGTGAGGCTTAGGAAAAATATTTTAAATCCACCTCGTCAATAGTTAAAGCTGTTTTCTTAGCTCTTAAAAATCAGAGCTCATTATAGCCTGGAATACTATAAAAAGCTTCTTCCCCTTTAACTTTTTCTGCAGTTGGGAAAAAAAAATATATATACACACCGTTAAAGAAAAAGGGAGGAGGTATAAAGTCACTTTAAACTTTGACTCTCATAGATTGTTTTTCAGGAAAGAAAAACTTCAGCTTTAACAGATTTCCTCAATAAAAAAAACAAACTGTGTACTTAAAAGCCATATTTTCAGGGGAAAAAAAAAAGCTAATGAAAAATCAGAGCCAGTTCTACACACGTGTAACATCTTGCAGTACTAAACTTACGTAGTTTATATTTCTTGCATCCAGAGTCACCTGGAAACATTACAGAGGATCATTTAACACTTTTGACAAGGACAGATGTGCAACAAATTATTATGTATAAGCTGCTTCAGGGTCTTACCATATGGCACACATAAAGGAATTCAAGGAAAGAGGGAAAACGACATCACATTTAGCTTGGTTGAAAGCACACACAGGTACTTATTCCAAAAGAGCTGGCACAGAGTCAGGTGCTATACCCTGTGCAAGACATTTTTTTCCTACTGCATGAATCTCCACTACTGATGCTTTAAGGAAGGTCCAGTGCTCCTCAGTGTTTCTGCTGGTCAGTTGAAGGATTATATAAAAGACTGTAGCTGACAGAATCTGCACAGAATACTGGTGAAGGACAAATAAATAAGAGTAGGTCAACCCTGCTCCAGAGATCTACATCATACATCACACTGAATTAATGGCAAAAACATGACTGTACACAGCCCAGTGCAACACACCATACACATGAAACAAGAGTTGTTTTGTACTTACAAGATAAGGAATTCTACTTGGAAATGGAGCAAATCAAAAGAAATACTCCAAAGACATTGTGAATTCTCAAATGCGTAGAGAAACCCAGCAAGCTGGAACTGGCTTCCCGGGCAAAAACATTTCATGGATATTTAATATGGCAAAACACAGCAGGAAAGAGAACTATTGCATCAATACATAGCCTCAGTGAGATTCTTGATGATGTATTTACCAAGTTCTACTTCCCATTCAAAATGAGAAAAGTTAATGAACATCGATGATGCCTGAAAGCCCTGTCTCAAAAAGAAAAATAATGGCTTTGTTCTCAAAATTGTTCTTATGAGCCTAAGACCCAGAACAGAGAATTTCATAGAAGCTTGTAATTAGTAACACATGTGAAGACAAGAATGGCACAAAAGTCATTAAATACTATTAACTAATCGCATGGACTGCTGTATTCTAAATTAATTACTCAAAGACTATCTATTTGTCATTGTGGAAAGTTTAATAAGACTATCTGACCAACAGTGGAATGATGAACAAAAAGTGAGAAAAGATTGTATTGGATTAAATGACAGAATATCACATAGAAGTTCTAAGATAATTAAATAAATAACTGTGGATTTTCACCTACAACATCCTTCAGTTCTGACCAACTTCTCTCTGTAGTAAAATCAGAGAGGGCTCAGAAAATGGAAAGAGCTCAGAGAGGGGCAAGAAAAATATTAAGTTTTGATAAAACTGGATGCTTCAAGATGCTTAAGAGTTCCAAGAGGAAATCACTGAGTAAAGAGGAAGAGGCAGCAAGTGCATAAAATTTGCACAGAGAAGTTTAGCAAGGTCTTCTTCTCAGCCTTAGTCAAAATACTAGGGCTGCATCATAGTGACCAAAGCCTTAGGAAAAACAGTTTTTAGTTCAAACCAACTATATTAAATGGCAACAAAATCAAAGCTCATAAAAGTGAGCATTTTTAATAGTGCTTACATACCTAATGAATGCACAGCCCATTCTTTGGCCCAAACTTTGCATGACTGGGTAGAGAGTTGGGTTTTCACATAAAATTATATCACACATAAATCATATAAAAATTCATAAAAATTACATGAACAGAAATCACTTATCCAACTTTGCTATGTTGGAAACTATTCCTAAAAGTTCAAGCAGAGTTTTAATGACCACTCCTAGTAATGCTTTCCCAGTAGCACCTTTCAAAGAACCCAATGAGTTGCCTGTTGAAGACAAAGGACTGACTGAAACAATCTACAAATCCTTAAATAGTCGTTAAATGCCACTACCCAGAACAAAAAAAGCACCTCTTAATCTCCAAAACCAGGAACTGAACAGATCACAAGACACATTAACTTTGTTCTTTTCTCACCCCGATTTCCCCCACGACCCTAAGATTGTCAATAAAAAGCGCTGAGCAAAACAAGACCATGAGCTACTTAACTGTCCAAACCAAAATGAAGAGGGAATACAAAGGTGTCAAGCTCTGGAAACGTCTAACATGCAATGATATATACAATATTAACATTACCAGCTTTAGCACTGCCCAAGTGCCCAAGTCTGTGGACAAAAGCCTTAAAACAACACATGGTAACACCTCAATATCTCTTTTCAAGCCATTTTTGCCAGCGCCACCTTAGTTTTGTCAGGACAGGAGGAAATAACTATTGTTCCTATCTGCTGGTGACAGCCAAACTCGCCAGCACATCTATCAGAATAATATATGATTTTATGATTTTTAGCGCGCCCCACGCTCTGCGGCTTGTCCTCCCAGCACTGAGTGGGGATGAGCCCAAGGGTGGCCCGGTGAGGCCAGCCCGGCTCCCTCACACCTGCACCATGGGCACATCCTCGCCAGGGAGCAAGCACCGAGGGGTCCGTACTCCTGCTCCCTCCAGCCACAGGGACTAGACAGCCACCACAGCGGGTCCCACCACCCTCATGTCCATGGCACTGGGCACCATGGTGGGACCATCCACCTGCTCCCCTGTGCCATCACGACGGCGCTGAGCACCACCGTGGAACCGTCCTCCCGCACCTCTGTGGCATCACCGCCACCGGCGCAGGCGGGACGGCACCGCCGCAGCCAGGCGAGAGCCCCGTGCATGGAGGACGGGACCGGCGATGGCACCCCAGGGAGGACACCCCAAGCCGGGAGCGTGGCGTAAGGGCGGCCGGGCCGCCCCCCACCCCGGCGGCCTCGATGGCGCGGCACCATGTGCCGGGGGCATGGCGGGGCGGCCGGGCGGGGGGCGGCGGGGCCGGTGCGGGTGGCGGGGGCGGGGAGGTGGAGCCTGGCTGCGGGACCGCCGCTTCCCTCCCCCGTCGGGCGCTCACCTGGCGGGGCCGCCCCTCGCCAGGGGGCCGGTTCCACGCGGGGCGCGGGGCTCGCCCGCCCGCCCTCCCCGGGCCGCGCGTCCGCCGCCCGCCGGCTCAGGCCCCAGCAGCCGCCGCCTCCCCCTCCATGGCCGCCGCTCTCGCCGGCTGCATTGTGGGAAGCTGACCTCACTCGCTGCTGCCGCCGCCCCGCCGGCTCCGGCACTCTCCGCCATGGGGGCCGTGACCGACGGTGAGACCTCCCTCCCTCCCTCTCTCTCTCTCTCCATCCTCCCTCCTTCCTCCCGCCCCGCGGCCGCGACCCCCGCCCGGGCTCCCCGCCTGCCCCCCGGGGGAGCAGCCGCCCGCGGGCCCCGAGCCCAACCCGGGCCGCTCACCCCGCACACGGGCCTCCATCCCGGCCCCGCTCCCTGGATCCCGCACCCGCCCGGGTTCAGCAGATCCGCCCGCTCTGGCCCCGGGAATCGTCCCCTGAAGGGCCGGGAGAGCCCCGCGCGCGGCGCTGGGATGCGGCTGCCATGCCGTGAGAGGATCTAACAGGAGTTTTTCCGCAGATGAAGTTATCCGCAAGCGGCTGCTGATCGATGGCGACGGAGCTGGCGACGACAGGCGGATCAATTTGTTGGTGAAGAGTTTCATTAAGTGGTGTAATTCCGGATCTCAAGAGGAAGGGTATTTGTTTTCTGTTGTTTTGTTTTGGTTTTTTAAGTCTTGGAACTGCTTGGCTTGCATTGCAGCGGAAAACAGGGCTCGATCCATTTTGAAAAAACCCGTGTTGAAATGTGTACGTCTGCTTTTCCTATGGCTCTGTGGTGTTTCCAGGACAAACGCCGAGCACTGTGCTGGGAGATGAGGGCTAGAGACGGGTCAGAAATCAGTGAAGGCTGCGGGCTGTATCATGAAATCTGTCAGCACCGCTCGAATGCCCTCAGGATTCCCCTGCCGCGGCATGATCCGTCCGGGAGTCCCGCTATTATAACAGGATCATGACTCGAATATTTTAGTTGGCAGTCCTGCGTTTGTTCTGTAAGGGAGGAGTAATACTGCTGGTATTTCTGCTGCTGTGGTTCTCTTTTTTAAAAAAAAACCACACCAAAACCCAAACAAGTCGAAGTAGTAAGGGATGAGTGACAACATGCTGTGGGGTCCCTATTAGTACTGGATATAAATTCCCAGAGGACACAATATTACGCTTGTGTGTACAGAGAAGCACTGCAATATTAAAATACTAATTTCGGCGGTCACAGGGCCAACCCTAGCTGGGAAATTTATAAGCCCCAGATCAAACTGCTCATTACTTTAATACTCACTTTACACCGATAAGGACATGATGGCGGAATTAATGGGTACAGTGTTTCTAGCTGCACTTTCAAGAAATTATACATTGAATCTTTAAGGTATTTATTGAATAATTGTTATTTAGCTGTTACTTACGCAACATGAAGTTTTGTACTTTTACACTGTTGGGAATAAATATGTTGTCTTTTTTCAGTTACAGCCAGTACCAACGAATGCTGAGTACTTTATCACAGTGTGAATTTTCGATGGGAAAAACTCTTCTGGTGTATGACATGAACCTGAGAGAAATGGAAAATTATGAAAAAATCTATAAGGATATAGGTAAATATGAGAAAATGTTACTGGTTTCTGTTTGACAGTTTCTCTTTTAGGAATGAGCTTGAGCCAGTTCTGCTAAACAAAATATATATATCCAATGAGTGATTTGGAGGTTTTTTTGCTTTTATTTTTTTTTTACTAGATAGCACTCATACATGTGCTGTGAGCATCTTATCAGTATATAAAATGCATACAAAACAAGAGCTTTTTTGACCTATTATAATGAATGTAGTTTTGAAGCTGATGGAGTTAACAGGCCACTGTGTCACAAACAGCTCTTTATCTTTTTTAATTTAGCAGAATAGCTTATTTACATGTATTTTTTGAGTTCAATATAACTGTGTATCCTTTTTTTTTAAAGAAAACAGTATAGCTGCAGCCCATGAGAAGATTTCTGAATGCAAAAAACAAATCCTGCAAGCAAAAAGGATTCGGAAAAATCGCCAGGGTAAGGAGCAATGTCTGTATTTAGGCTGGTGGGCTTCATTATTTTGTTATCTTTTTAAATGCATTGTATTGGAAAATAGATTCAAAATTTTTGAAAGTGGGAAGGATGTGGATACTGTATTTAAGCTGGTGGGTTCCACACCCTCTGCTGATAGGTTTTGGTGGATGAGGTAGTCAAGGTTGAACCAGGCGATCTCAATGACATGCAACATCAGGAAAACCTGAAAGAAATGTTCAGAGAGATGTTTTCAGGCCTAAGAAAAATCCCAGAAGCATGTGTTAGTTGCCTAAATAACCACAATATCGTTCTTAAGTGTAATAATTTTTTTTAAAAATCCTAAAAATAAAAAAAAATCCATGCAGCATTTTATACTTTTTTCTAAAAATCTTAAATGTTCCTGTGTAACATTAGCACCATTTTCTGTACATATACATTAGATTGTATCTAAATCCAATGCTTATGAATCATACACAAAAGACCAAGTATGCAGCAGTGCAGAGGTATCTAAAGGTCGTGTTTTCTGGCCTTATCCTTTATGAATCACCATCAGTAGGTAAGTTTGAATGAGTACATAATGGTCTATAATCATATCTGTAGTTTATTTAAAATATCTTTTGATGTAATAATCTACTTTGAAATGTTATAGCATGGTATAAAACATACACATTTTTATATATGTATATTTGTAGGTACTTTTTTATAATTGTAAGGTGTTATGTATAGATTTGAGAAATGTTAAAACAGTTTTTCAAAAGGGAGAAAGAGCCTGCCATTCTATGGTACCTGAGTTTTGATTCTTGAATCAATATTTTCAGAATTATTTCGATTAACTATTTAAATGTCTTTCAGAATATGATGCATTGGCCAAAGTCATACAGCATCATCCAGACAGACATGAAACATTGAAGTAAGTATAAAACTACATTAAATTACAATAAGCCAGTAAGTTAGAAGTCACCAGATTTGATATTACCTTGGTTTCAGTTTGACCTTTCCTCGCTTTTATATCATTTCTTTTGACACAAGAAAAACTCGTGTCTCTGTGCCCTTATCAGCTTTTTTAATTAACGTCCATCTCTCCCTGTCACAAGCATAGCTAATAGTTTTGTAGTTGAGAGTTTTCCATTGTTAAGGTGAATAAGTGAACTTGGATGTAAATGCACATCTGTTGTCAGTTTACCAGGGATGAGCTTCTCAGAAAAGAGAGATAGTGGGACGTGCTGCAACACCAGCGAGGAATTCAGTGGTCACTCAAAATGCATAACACACATGCAAGTAAGGTGGAATGAGAGAATGCAGGAGAAAGCTGTTAGGGTTTTTTTTTAATGTTTTCCTTGTAGTAGTTGTTCCTGCATGCCTGGTTATAAATTGCTGTGTTGTACCTCAACATAACCTGCCCTGGCATGTGGGTTGGACCTACCTGTTGTCCAACTCGTCTTGCACGTAACTTACAGTGCAGCTTGTCACATTCTGAATTTGCATTGCTATCTGTGCTTCTGGGGCAACTGTAGGGAGATCATCTTTGTAACTTTATCAAGCCACAGAAACATTCCAGGACTTACTGCATCTATGAGTTTGCTCTTTCTTCAGTTCATTAAAGGTGTAGAGTGGGGTTACTGTTCCCATTTAAGTGCAGCTTGTGCTTGTCCTATTGCCCACTTTCAGTGAAATTGCCAAGGGAGGCTGTCTTTTCACTTTCTGTGGCCTTTCATAGCAAAAGGAAGAGTTTTGATTATACTATTACCCTAGTAATAGCATTTTTATAGCTATAAGACATTGACAATATTTCACACATTTCTTTCCTGTGCCTTGATTTCATTACCACAACTTCAGTTATTACGGGCAGTTCTCATGAGGCTTGACTACTTCTTACTTCATTAGTCATTACGTGACTAATTTATCAAGTGAGGCCTTAATAAAGAACTATCAAAAGTGAAGTTTTTCCAATAAGTCAATTAAGAATAGAAACAAATAAATGAGGACTAAAGCAGAGAAGTTGTGGATGCCCCGTCCCTGGAAGTGTTCACGGCCAGGTTGGATGGGGCTCTGAGCAACCTGGTCTAGTGAAGTGTCCCTGCCCACAGCAGGGGCGTTGGAATGAGATGATCTTTAAAGTCCCTTCCAACACACACCATTCTACAATTCTATGATAAATGATACTTTTTGATCTTGGAGGACACCAGCTTGTTTAGGTTTGGAGGGGCTGCTCTAATTTTGCTTAACACATCCAAGCTTAAGTTTCTTAAGCAAAGCTTGAAATGGTGATAAGTTACAGCTAGTAAGAATGCAGGATGTAGGGAAGTATACAGAAAATCATACAGTGAACCAAAGGCCACCCTTAAATCAGAATAGAGGAAGCCTCATGAACAGTGTTACACTTTTCATGGAACTCTCAGTCACTAAAAACACTTGAGGAAACTTCTTGTGAGGAGAAGCATCATGGTTTATGTCAAGAGCTACATTTATAGCTCCTGCAGGTTATATGGCACAATAGGGCAAAGTTCAGAAAAATACTTTCTTTATGCTTTTAAGGGACTGTTTCTTGGAACAGCTAGTCATACACCACAAAAGGAGCTATTTGGAGCTTAGTCACAAATAATGCACAGGAGCCAATTCAGGAAGTGACAGGAGGTGAACTACTAAACAACAGTGCCCACAGTGTAATTATATGCAGTATTAGAAGGGCTGTTCAGAAGGCCCAGAAATAACACTGAGTCTTAGAAAAGGAGGAGGCTAGGCAAAAATTCTCTGGAGCAGAAAATAAAAGGAGTAAGATTCCAGATGTAGCTTGGATGTTACTAGAAAAAAAATTGCATGTCCTTTCGCAGTCTGCTCACACCTGACAGCACAGTGTAAACAGAGAGATTTGGCCAAATGGAAATCTTGCAGAAACTAGAAACTAAATACTGACAAAATCACAGTATGAGACTATGAGCTGTTAGCCTGTTTCCATTAAAGAAAGGGATGATGTCAACCCAACCCTCTCTCAGGCATTCCCTTTGAGGTACAAAGCATACTGGCTCAAAAAAAGACAACACCCTCAGGTAGCACTAAAACAGACCTTTTCCCCGTTCACAGTGAGGTACTTAGGACTGGAGGCATTTTTGTGGTTCCCTACCCAGGCTTAGTGGTAGCAGCTGTCAGTGCTTCAGAAAAAAAAGTTTGATTTCCTTGCTGACCCCTCTATGGCTCTGTCTGCTGATAAATCAGGGATGATCAGCCTCAGAGTTCCCTTCACCTTTAAAGCAACAGTTTGTTCACATTGCATGGAGCATAAATTATGGTAGACATCAGAGGAAAAGTAGAAGGAGGTTTGCATGTAAGAGTTGGTGCTCCATCCTCATTTGAAAGGTGCTGTACACTGGGGTGGGTACCTGATAGTCTTTGGCTTGCCTCGAAAATTATTGTGGTGGTCCATGGTGAGTTCAAGTGAGAACAGAAAGGTTTTCACCCAGAGGGCATTGGAACAGGCTCCTCAGGGCACTCAAGGAGTGTTTGAACAGCACTCAGGCACATGGTGGGATTGTTGTGGCTGTCCTGTGCGGGGCCAGGAGTTGGACTTGATGATCCTTGTGGGTCCCTTCCAACTCAGGATATTCTATGATTCTATCAATCTGCTTCTTTAACTTCTGTTGTATGGTCAAGTAAATAATATGTTATAGCAGGACTGGATTGTTACAGTCCATATGCCCAGTGTACAACTGTATTCCAGCTTGGAGGCCTTTTTTTTTGTAAGAATCCTGAAATTACAAGTTTAGAACATAATAATTTAACATTTACGTGAAGTGGCCTTACCTCTATATTGTTTCGCTTGTTATGTTTTGTTTATATATGCTGTTTATTTAATTGTTCTTTTTCCTCTACTTAGTTCAAATCTGTTCTGCAAGAATTTTACAGAACTTTGGCAATTTTACAGAACTGTGGCAATTTCTTTTCAGGCAGCTGGAAGCTTTGGGAAAAGAACTGCAGAATCTTTCTCACATTAAAGAAAATGTTGAAGATAAGGTAGGTCTTTCATAGAGATTGTTATATAATAATTTATTAGGAACACAGTGGGGAATCTGCTATTGGTTGTTTGGCTCTCTGTTTCCTACAATACATATTTTATCGTTCCAGTTGGAGCTGAGAAGAAAACAGTTCCATGTTCTCCTGAGCACTATCCATGAACTTCAGCAAACCCTGGAGAGTAAGTGTTGTTCTTAGGTAATAGATATAACTGGGTTGGGTTTCAGTGGATCAAAGGATTCACAGCTTCCAGCAGTGGGATAGCTCTGTGCAATTGAGGTTGGTGACCTCTTGCATTGGCAGCATTTTTTTCCCCAGTAGTAGTCCAGAGCCTTTTCTTCTACAAGCTACCCACTGTGTCATTTCCTGACTAGCTTCAGGTTAATCTGTAGGCAGCAGAATTCTTTAAAATATGGGGGTGGAGAGTAGCAATTTCAGGTTAGTTGTTTTTGGTTTGGTTTTTTTTTTTTAAACAGAGAAAGTATTTCTTACAGAAAATTATTCTTGCGCTTATTTCCAAACATATTTGTGTAATTCCTATTTTGATAGTTTTGAAAATATCAATGCCATCAGGGTATCATTTGAGGCTTTACTGAAAAGAAGTTGAAATACAGGAACAGTAAATGACTGACCTACTCAGACAGTGAGTTTGTGATAGAGGAGGGACTAAAGCTGTCATACACAAGAGCTAAATTCAGGAATTAGTCATTTTTGTCATACAAATAATTAATGTTTTCAACACCACTAACTTTTCTTGCTCTAATGTGGAAATATTGTTTTTAAATTTTATTTGCTGGATATTTGCCGTGTCTTTCGAAGACACAACAATTGGTACAGCCTTTGAGCATGACCTGATTAAATGCATAGATGGCTGTAAGAGCAGACTTTCATTCTCTAAGGCCATTTAGATCTTCTTAAGCAGAATGAACTGTTAATCCTAGGTGAACTTTAGCAGAAGGTTATTGTTATTATATGTTACTAACAGTTGCTTAAGTATTAGTCTTTAGAATGCATTTTCACATGAATATATAGATTACCTTTTAACTTTCAGGATTTTATGAAGGAAAGTAGCACTTTAGTGTAAGGCACAGCTTCAGTTTGAAATAAATAAACCATTAGTAGGCAAAGAGAAGGCATGTGATTTGAAGCATTCTCGTATTGTTTGTTTGAATTGATGCTATAAAATTTACCCCATATTTCCAATAACAGCAATAACATCCTTAAAAACTTTGAAGGATTTGTTTGTTTGTTTGTTTGAACATAGCACTTTATATAATGAGATAGTCAGCTACACATTCAAGGCAATCAAAATATTTAAGTGGGACACAGCTCTGCAATATAGTCTGTAAATATGACCAAGCATGTTTGACTAACAGTAATATTGAATTTTAGATGATGAAAAACTTTCAGAAGCTGAAGAATCCCAAGAAACTCAAATGGAAACAGAGGCCAAGCAGTAGATGTAATATGAAGACTGACAATACTACTGAAGAAAGTCCAAGTATCTTCATGTTCTATTGAAACCAACAGTAAGGGAGGTGGAGCTGAAAATAGTTTTCTAGTGCTTCTGTGAATTTTTATACAAAAATACTTGTTTTGCTTATGCTTCAGGGGAAAACAGTTGCAGATCTGTGCAGACAGGGACTTTATGTTAATTCACAAACTTTGTAATTTGTGAAATTGTGGTTTATAAAGGATGAAGCTTCTACACAGTGCTTGTGAACTAAGGTGTGTGCTAAACATTGTCAATAAAAGGTGTTTTCACAGGTTTTCCTATTTTTAGTAGGCATTGAGCTTTTCTTACTAGACATCAGACTGAGGGCAGTGCATCTCTGCATGAGTCGCAGCTTCCACAGCTTAGTCTAGATGGGACCTAAATCTGAACTAAGCAGGGTCTTAGTTTTTCAAAGTAGCTGTCATTTTAGAACTTACTAGTTTCATATGAAACAAATTACTTCTATAGAATCAATGCTTGTTAAGGGTTATAAAACAACAAAAAATCATCCCGTACTAGCTTTAATTTTTTCCTCAAAGTGATGCAAAGATCTGCAGTGATCCAAGCCTTGCTCTGCTTTGTTTGTTGTGCCACCTCAAAAGTCACATTTTGAAATGGCACTTTTAAAACTGTGATTTAAAAGCTTTGTTCTTGAAGAACCAGGAATCTAATCCTGATACCATTTATAATCTGCTTCTGGATTTTACTTGTCAATTGACTATTATGAAATACATCGTAATTTCTAAAACAGATGGTGGAACCCTTCCTGCCTCACAAAAAAAAACTTGAAGCAGCAGAGCAGTAACCATGATGTTAAAGAATCAGAGATACTTGTGTTATTAATAGGGAAGGCGGAATTTATCCACCTGGATCATCCTGCAGTCTGTTGGGAGGTTTCAACCTTCCGAAAAAGAGAAGAGAATGGAGTATGCTCTATGCTTTTGTAAGGGAAGGAGGAAGGAAGGGGCAGTAGGTGATATCACTGCCTGTTAGCCTTGTTCTAAAAACACTGAGCCTTCCAGTGGTTTGCGTAAAGGAAAACATTTTGGATCTCACTCAGACAGAGCCATAAGCATATATGGTTCAAGTAAAATAATGATGTTCTACAGAACAGAGCTGCCTTCTCACTCGGTGACAGCTGAGGGGGATTTCCAGGATGGAGACTCGAGACTTTTATAGTCCAAATGCCATATAATTCCCACTCTCAGTGGCTGTGGATCTATGTGCATTGGGCTGAACAGACATATCTGAGCTTGTTTTGCTCACATTCCAGGTTTGCTAACAGCAAGCCAGCTGAACAAGAAGTCACACAACTTCAGTAGCACATTGCAGCCCTGAACTAATAAGCTGTCAAAAGTCTTCTAGTTCACAGCTGGTCAACTCAGAACACAGGGGAAGCTCAGGTTTGCCTGATAGAGCCTGTGCAGACATGCAGTGCTTCTCATGCACTACAGATTTGGCAGGTTGGGGTGGTGGTTAAGCAAACAAAAAGGATTTAATATGAAAAAATACAGCGTCAAAAAGTATTTAGTGTACTGTGGTTTTCCCCTCCTAACAACAGTGAATAGTAAATATTTTGTAAAGCAGCAATGCTAAATTATTGCCAAATCAGGGAGTAGTCACTGTCATGAACATATGAATTATGAAGATCATAAATTACAAAGGCTCAAGACACTTTTAAAGCATATTAACATTTTTTTGTGTTTGAAATGCCCTTCATAAGCTACCTGGACTGAATTTTGGTGCAGAGGTGGATGACATTTAACACCTAAAAACAGTCTCCATAGCAGTGTCATCATGAAAATCTGAAAATTTTCCATTAATTGTTTTACACATTTCTTTGGAAATTAATTGCATCACTTAAGTATCTTATCTCAGAACTTGCACTGCTCTGGATAAAACCTGACCATAAACGTGCCAACATCCAAGTCTGTCCCTCTGGTAAGGAATACATAAGCAAAACCAAAAGTTGCACACAAGAGAAGCAAGACAAATGCATAGCAGAGGAATACATTCTAGTTTGAATTACAGTGATGCAATCTTGAAAAGAAATTGCTGCCCTAGAAATTCAAGTTGCCCTAGTGCCATGTGGCAGCAAGAGGATGATGTCACGAGGCCACCTTGGAGAGCAATCAAAATAAAAAGCAACATCAATTCATTGCAAATGCGGGCTCAGTGGGACATCCAAAATATTTGCTCCTAATATTTTCAGTATTTATGCATCTAACCTCTTGAGCATTAGATTTGTACCAAAAAAAGAAACAAAACCAAATGGAATTCTAATTATCAACAATATTTAACCTGCTTTGTTACTAAACCTCAGGTTCCAGCTTCAAATCTGCCCTGCATAAGTTGGAAATGTGTATCTGCATTTCCTTTAATCTTCTGTTCCAGAAGTTTTCTGTGATGCTGCTTACCTGCATTGACTCTAAATATGCATGTATAAAAATCTAGGTACATGAACTCAGAATGTTCACAATGACACTATTTAAATAAGAAATCACTCCTGGTTTTATGATTTGCCTTGTCCCTATCTGAGCTGAAGGATTATTATATGACTAAATGCTCCATCTCTTGCTATGTGGGTGCACAAATACAAGCAGAAAGAGAGTTGCTGAAGTGATAAACTGACATTTGCAGTGGCAGGACTTATTTTTCTGTCCTGTCTAAATGAGAGCAGAAGAGGGAGAATGGAACATTGGACAGAATTGGTAACTTGGGTGTAATTTTTAAAGCTAGATTTAGCAAGCTCCACAAAAAGAGGGAAGAAGGAGGAGAAAAAAGGTCCCAGTGACACATTGCCAAGTGATGGGATATCTCTGAAACCACGTTAATTGGAAGAAAGTTGCTGTCAGGACAGAAAATTGCAAAAAATAGATCCCAAAGATTTATGAGCTAGAAATTATGAACTATTTTAGATACTTGTCATGTAAGTTTTCCAGCTGTCACAGCTGTCTTGTACCATGCTTTCCCTCACTCCTTTACTCAAGTCTCAGGTGGGTCTCCTTTTTTTGTGAGTTTAAAAAAGAAAAGGAACTCAGAAATGCAGGCAAATACTGCTAGTTCTGCTCTGGAAAAAAACCTGTGTGTTTTTTTCTTTCTAGAGTACATGCATTAAGGATGTATAGAGCCATTTTACAGATTTATATGCAACAGACCCTGTGGAAAGCAAGTTGGCGATGGAGAAGCGCTCCACCTTTTGAGCTTCATCCAGATTGTCACATATGTTCCTGGGTTACCACGGCCTTCATTTCCCAAGTCTGTTTTACCAAAGGATATCAGTGTCACAGAAGTCCCTCCACTCCTAGCCCAGGGCCTGTGTGTTGCTGGGCACTGTGTAATAATAATAATAATAATGGCCAGTCTTCGCGAGCGAAGATTTGGGAAAGGTCATTACCCTTCGAGCCTGCGCAGTGGATTTTTTAGGTGAGACACAGTGTGCGCTGAACTGAGCCCACCCTTTAATCCTGAGGTTCATCTGCCGGGGCCGAGCAAAGCTTGGACAGTGGCAGTGAGGGCCCCAGGATGTAGGTTTGTTTAGAGTGACCTTCTCTTAGATGGATTGCCTTACAAGGCTGACAAGCTCCATCTGCCCGGGGGGTCGGGAATCGAACCCGGGTCGCAGAGGTGAGAGTCCTGCACCCTAACCACTAGACCACCAGGGGCCCCCTGGGCACTGTGTAAAGGCAGAACAAAAAGGCTGTTTCTGTCCCTGTGTCCTGGGCAGCGCCACAGCAGCCGGGTGGCAAAGCCAGGCTTGGAGCAGCCTGCCCTGGTGTCCACCCTGGCCTGGCCTGGTTCACCTGCCTGCTGGCAGCAGGAAAGAATCCAGCAGGAGCTGCCTGGCAGGGCTGTGTGAGGCTGCTCAGTGACGTGCTGAAGGCACTTGGGGAACAGGACACTAGGGCATCCCAAAGGGACTCAGCATTCTCATGCCAAGGAGCTTCCCAGGTATTCAAGAGTGATCCTAAAGCCAGAGGTGCACCGTGTGGTCTGTCCAAGATAGCAGAGTCCAGAAGGGAAGGATGAGGTGCCTTAGACCCCTATGCCAGGTGAAATGATGGGGGACTTGTTTCATGGAAGAAGGAACTAAAGGCCTGTCCTGGCCAGAGCCAAAGCACTGGTTGTGTTGGGCAGCTGCTGGTGTTGCTGTCTGAATGGCAGGAGCTAGTGTTATTTGAGGGATCCACGAGGACGGAACTTAGGAACAAACTCATTTTTCTACATTTGTTACGTCTGTATTTGAGTAGCTTTTGTGGGGGGCCACACGTTTGGATGGCACAAACCACAGCAGCTCCCGGGAGCTGCCAGACACCCCACCCATGGGATCATCTAAGTGGGCTTATCAACAGCCCGAAAACTGGTCCCCACCGTGGTCCATCATGGATTCGTACCGGAGCGCGCAGAGCAGGGTGAGCTGGGGAGTACTTGTTTAACACCCCACAGGCACAAAACTAATTCCAAATGCCCTAATGGTGCGAAACCGCCCGGAGGAACCCCGGCTCCCGTTATCTCGCCTCCCTCTCGGCCCAGGCTCCCGCACACGGATCCCGCTCCCGATGGAGCCGCGAGGGGGCGGCAGAGGCCGGGCTGCCCGGGAATCGCGGATCCCACCGTGCGCATTCCCAGCGCTTCCCGGCCTCGCCAGCCCTTTCCAGAGCTTTTCTTTTTCTTTTAGTTCCCGTTTCCCACGCACGGACAGTCCCACCAGTGTCCGGAGGAGTTAAATCCCCGGAGAATCATACAATATCCAGAGCTGGAGGGACCCACAAGGTTCATGGAGTCCACTTCCTGGCCCTGCATAGCATGGCCCCAAGAGAGTTTTGCTCACCCCTGCGCTTCGTTTTCAGTGTCTTGCCTGAACTATGCTGATTCTCAAAGCCTCTCCTAAACTGCCCCAAAACACATAAAACACTGCCAAGGAGCAGAAGGTGCAATGCTGAAACCTTCACTCTTTGCAATGCCCCATCTTGTGACACAAGCATATCCAATACTTCATTTTCCTACTGATGATAAGATACCAAACCCTTCACACTGCCTCTTCCATGCAAGGGCTGGAAGAGCAGAGCCTGGCAGTGCTTTCAATAGGGACCAAGCACCCTCTGGTACACTAAACTGCTGCCCCCAACACACCCAACTCCGCCAGCCCGAAGCCAAGGCAAGAGATGTTTCAGAATCATTCAATATTGGGATGCTCAGAATTTGCAGCATCACAGTGAGAGAGTTGGCAAAAGTTTGCTAAAAGCGTTACACTGCGTGAGAATTCCTAAAATAGTCAA